TTATTTCAGCAAGCAGTGGAAACAGAGCAGTCTGGAGTTTGCCATCAGTTACATCACATTTAGTCTTGTAGCAAAATGTTAGGAGGCTAACATGACAATCACACCTTGGTTTTCAATGTATTGGGTCACTTTTGCCTTTGGGAGACTGAGAGAAGGTCAGCTACTCCTGGCATGGAGAGATGGGCAATTTGAGCAACATGATCCTGCTATTGAGAAGATTTGGGAGGGGGAAGCAGTAGGGAAGAAGATGATCCAATCCTGTGTATTAGTGTGCCAGTCATCATCCACAGAGACAAGTGTCTGGAGCATCTGAGAAACCAGGGAATCCTGTTTGTCGGGAGGGAAATACTTATTAATTATTAACTTATTGTTAATAAGTTAATTTATTAACTTATTGAATTAACCTGTTGTTCTCTGCCTATATGAGCAGCAATAGAAACGTGCTTTAAGTGATGTACACAGGGTACAGCTCTTAATTCTCCAACTGGTATCAACAGCCTGAATGAACAAAACTGGAAGCAGTGAGTCAAAAGCCTGGTACAGATCCAGTGGGAATGGAGTTGAAGGTTGGGACCTCCTCTCCTCTAGCAGACTTTTCTCTCTGACAGCAGGAGGGTGGTACATATCCATGATGTAGGTTTGGTAGCAGTTGCATACTTCCTTTTCCATACACCTTTAATGAGAATCTCTGGGAAAGTCAAAGGCTTTGTGAAATATAAAGGTAGCTGCTGAGAAACTGGCTTTAGTTTTCTTAGGGTATGGAAATCAGCAGTGGTAGACAGAAGGGTGTTACCTTACCTCCTTCCTCATCAAAGTTTCTGTGGGATTATTTCAGGTATAATTTATGAAAAGCTGAGCAGTAGGGACATCTCCACTGAACCTCTGCTGGGTTTCATCCCACTGTTTGACAAGTAGTATGGTAAGCCATTTCTCTGTACAAGGTCAGATTAATCTTTTTTTATGGAGTTTCACATGAATGCTTTGCTTTGGGATTGTTGTTTCTCCATGCATAAATCTTTATTATACCAATAGCCTACATCCCCAGTGAACCAAACAAAACTCAATTTTATTCTCAGTATTTATCACCACAGTGAGAGAACTCCATTGAAAAGCAACTGGGAGAGTTTCCAGCAGGTGTGGTGGGGGTTTAGGTGCTGTGAGCCTTTGGTGAGTTCATGTTTCTTCTTTATAAATTTGAATGGTATATGCCAAGCTGGGTCTGGCCCTGGATTGGACATCATTCCCTTTGGTTTGATACTGAGGATGGAAGTGAAAATGACCTGTTGTTGGGAGGTGCTGTGGACTGGAGGAGCAGGCTGTGAATGTGCACAATCGACTGCATTGGATGTGCTGCAGTGTGCAGGGCTTGCTTTGCAGCCAGCACAGGCTGAAGCCTGATTGCTGCTTTCCAAGGTGTTGGTTTGGGTTCAGGTACAGCTCTTCTTGAGAAGGGGGATGGCAGATGAGCTGACATGCTTGTAGCATTTTGCAGGTGATGAGTGTGAAGCCTCTGCCTTGAGGTTGATCTCACTGAATTGTTTGTAATGAAAGATACAGCACAAGTCTCTACATTCTGTACATGTGGGGATTCATAATACTTGTTAGTTATCAGTGATATAGCCATGAGGGCTCTGTCAATGCTTCTAAATGTAGAAAAAAATAGAAATGGCTACTTTATGCTTTTATATAAAACCGAAATATTTTTCTATGGAGATAAAGGATAATCCTTATCTAGGTTTTGACTTTCTAAACAATTAATTTTGGTTCACCGTATGGCTTCCAAGATTTGCAGTGCATGAAACCAAATTCCCAGCTTGGAGGATCCTCTTAGTCTATGTAGGGAAAGACTTAGACATAATATATGGCCATCACTGAGAGGATTTTTATTCTGATATTTCCTAAATTTTGAGTGCTTGACTCCACAATTTTAGCATCTTTTTTGACATCGGCGTCATGCCTATTTCTCTAGTATGACCTGAGGAAGGCCAGGAGCACTGTCAGGGTCTCGCCAGAAGGTCCAGCCTCCTTTATTGGATACAATGGCACAGCTGGCAAGAGCAGCTCTCTGCTCCAGTCTGAAGCTGATAGCTTTTAGCAGAGTGGGTGTTGTAGGGGGAAATACTCTTGAGATGTAAAATTTCACTGCATTTGTTACCAATTAAGATGAAATTTTAATTACTGATCCTAGTATTAAGAAATAATGACATACTTGAGAAAACACCTCTTGTGAAATTTCCCTCCAGACACCTTTCCTCCTCCCCTTGCCAGTCTCCAGTTCATTCCCTGCACATTATACTCATGTCATGGGGATCAGTGCAGGATGCTTTTCTTTTATGGCCACTCTTTATTTCTTGCTCTTTTTTTTTTTTTTTTTTTTTTTTTTTTTTTTTTTTTTTTCCCATGGCTCCAGCATGAGGACCTCCCCAGGCCATCATCCTCTTAAAGGCCTCATTCCTCCTGGGTATCTATGTAAACAAGTGTCTCCTGCCTGGATTGTCTGCTGCTTGTAGGTCCAGTTTTTCTAAAACTTTTAGCCAGATAATATCCTAAGTCAAACCATTCCCCATCTGCTGTTAAAAATGTTCTTGTGTAAGAACATAAAATACTTATTTATGTACTTACCTTCTCCTGCAGTCACTCCCTGCTTCATCTGTAGTCTCTCCATGCTGCTGCATGCAGAGTAGGGAGAAAAAACTTTCTTGAGAGCACAGGAAAAACAGATCCCTAAGTTTTATTCCAGTTCGTGGACATACCCCCTGTTCCAGGCCATGTCCTGTGAAGTGGGGCTGGAGATTATTGGCTTTGGGGAGATGGCAGAAAGGCACCACAGGAGCAGAAAAGATCTCTGGGATATTTTGTGGCTTGTCTGGTTGTGTGTGAGCGTGTGGGCGTACGATTTGCAGGCTTTAACTGCTGAGCCCTCTCATCTCTGTGATGTGTGAAATGCACACTCTTGAAAGCGAATAATTTTCCCACAACATCCACTCGTAGCTGGGTAAGACAAAAGGCTGAAATTTCTGTGCCTGAAATTGAGCTCCACTGTGTCAGGTCCCTGCTCTAAACATGAGCAGTATGAGAGGATTTCAAATTAAAGCACTAGAAATTTAACCTGGGAAGAATAGCATACTTTGCCCTGCTTCATTCTTAGAAGTAATTGGAGTGCTATTTTTGATGTTCTTCCAAAACTTTTATCCTTTAGACAGAAACAAGCACAGAATATATCAGCACAGACAATTAAGGTTTGGCAAAATGATAAGCTGATGAATCTGAGGTCCTGGGGTAGGAAATGCTGATCACTGTATATAATGGGTAACAAAGAGTCCTTCTCCTTTGTTCTAGAAATTGTCTCATGCAATCCCGTCTATGTCAGGGAATTTCACAGGCAGAAAATGGTGTTTGCATGCACATTTTGGATAAGTGGTGCTTTTATGGATGAGCAAAAAAGTACTCTACAGCCAAATAGACAGAGTGTCTGTGCATCTTTGCAAAGAGGGATATGCTTTGTCCTGTTTCAGCTAATGCTATGCAGCAGGCTAAAATTGTAAAAAATAAGCAAGCTGCACCAAGACAGGTTTGCAAAGCCATACAGAAGATAAGTGTTGGATGGTAATGATATGGAAATCAGCTTGGATCACGGGCCTAAATGATGTCTGTGATTCAAAACTGGGCAGTAATAGGATCCAGTATTAGGGTCAGGCAGGTGTAAAAATACTGGTGATGAAAATCTGAAAATAAATAATTTAATATTCATGGGGCAAAATGCAACGACTTCTGTAATTGTACCAGGGGAGAAAAGTATTTTCCACTTTGTGACTTTTTGCCCTCCATTCAGTCACATAAATCCATGGGTTCAAAGGTTTGGTTTTGGCTTACCAGGCAGTACAGAAATTCTGATAAAGGCTTAGTAGCTATTAAACTTTTATAGGTTTGCAGCCTTGTGATTGAAGAGACAGTAATTGTGTTTTTCTCTTGGGGATGGGATTCCAATTAAGTTGGTGCTGCTCAGTATTAGAATTTCATCCTAACAGGTTGCTAAGTGTGTGAATTTTGTGTTATAGGGAGCTAGACCTTTGCCTCAGCCTAAAAAGTTTTCAAAATTACTCTCTCCTTTACCTATCTATTCAAAACTCAGTTTCATTTAATGCTTTGATAGCACTCACTGTAAAGTCTTCAAGTTCTGTGTTGATGCTTCTGCAGACCCATCCAGTGTGGTAACAAAATGCAGAGGATGTGGCTTCCCTGAAGGGTTTGGCATTGCCAGCAGTTCCTCCCACCGAAGTCAATCAAAAGAGAGCTGAGGGCTTTAGAGAACCTGCCTGAAATCCTTGTGTTAAACGTTTTTTATCCAGTCCTTTGAGCTTTTGACTCCTGGATTTTAGGCAGTTCCATGGCTTATGAGAAGAAGGAGAGGTGGCCCAACTTTGCTTTGATGCCTTCAATACAAATCAGCCCCTTTCACCTGAAACTCATGTGTGATTTGTGTAGCTCCCTGAAACTGCTCGTAAAGCTGACTTGGTACACCTTTCACTTCCCCCTTGATCCCACAATTACCCTTGAAAGGAGCTGTGACTTTAGGCCCAGGTTACCTTCTCTTGCCGTTGGAAGTTAAGCTGTGGATTTCATGGATATCATCACTAATATCCAGTGTGGGAAAAAAAAAAAAAAAAAAAAAAAAAGAAAAGAAAACCTAGCATGGGAAGACTCCTGAAGGTTTGCTGTCAAAGAGAGCACTGGCTTGCTCTTGGTGTGGTTTTAGGCTATTCTACTGAAACCAGTACTATAAATGAGCCATGCTTATGCCCAGACACTGTAGTGTTTCCTCACTAGTCCTTTATCTGCTTTTTCAGTTGCAGCAGCTTTGTATCCTGCTGCCTGTATGACTCTCACTCCCCATTCTGCATGATCTGCTGAATGTACTTGCTGTGCACCCAGAAAAAGCTGAAATAGATGTTGATGGCTTTTGCTTTTGTTTTATCCCCTGTCCTTTCTTCTCTTGACAGTTTTTTATCATGCTGTTAATTATATTTCTGTTGGAGCTCACTGTTGTGATTCTGTTCTTCGTCTACACCGACAAGGTAAGTCAAATTCTTCATTTTTCTTTCCCCATCAGCAAATTTATATGCCCCTTTTCCCTATAAATAAATCATGAAGCACTTGGCTTGGTATGCACATCGTGCTTCGGTCTTCCTTGAGACACTCCTCTCAGAAGGAGCTCTCTCAGAATGCATAAGCAGCCTGGCAGGACTGGGCTGTCTTGCTTGCTCAAGTGTACAACTCAAGGTCACAGATACTGCCAAGTGCATCTGTCATTAACAAAAGAAAAGGAAACAAAAAACTTGACAAAAATGCCCACAAACAAACACCAAAACACCCCACAAAAAAGCAGAGAAGCCAACAAACCTTACTAGGAGCATGTAGGAAGATACACCCATCAGAGTGAGCAGGATTTTTAAAAATACGTTTATGGTTTAAGAACCACATTGATACTGTTAAAAAGGAAGTGTCCTGAGCACAGGCAAAGGCATCAAATCAATTATCTTTCCACACTGCTTCTTACAGCACATGTGTACTTAGAGCCTAGTGGAAAGCCAGGGTAAATGCATAAAAGTTCAATAAACACAGCTTTTGTTTGCACTTTCACATTTTGCTTATGTTTGACCATTGCTCCTTCAGTTGTACAGGCAATATTGCCTATCTGAATTCTCTTTATCCTTTTCTTTGAAAAAAATCTTATATAAATAAATCCAAAACAAGGGCATAATTGTGTGCCACCTGCTTATTCAATCAAAATCAAAAGCCCCTTACAACTGAAGACTGAGGGAACTTAATGATCACAGGGAAGGTGACAAAATTTTACCATTAATTAGCATTTATCAGGAACATCAGTGGTAAACACTTTCTTTAGGAATGGAAAGACAATAACAAAAAAACCAACCCAAAAACAACACTGTGTTCATTAATACATAAATTATTAATATAATTAGTAGTATATTAGTGATATGAGTGATTATATATTAGTCATACCAGTGAGTGATTGTCAGATGCAGTTCTCAAGAGCTAGGTTCCATAACATTCTGTAGCTGGAACATGGAATTAACTTGCCAGGTAATTACAGTAGAAGGGACAATTGAAAATTTCTTGTATGCATTATTGGATTCTGAATTACTTGTCAGCTCTTGGCAGAAAGATCTACACATCGTACAGGAGTAAAGGCATCTACTTAATATGCAGTGGGTCCCCAAAACCCAAACACAACACTTGGCTATGTTTAGAAAGAAAATCAGTTAGAAAATATGATCATATCATTGTATAACAGACTTGCCTCACTGTGAATATAATGCTGATTTTTGGCTACAGAAATGATTAGAAGTGCGAGAATGGTGGCAGAGAGCTGTCAAGAAAAGGAATTATGGAGACAACCTAGATTCAGTTTGGGAAAGGAAAGAGAGCCTCTGCTTGGGAGATCTTAGAAAGATCTCTTAAGATCTCTTAGGAGATCTTAAAAAATTATAGTAATTTCTAAAATAATGGCAGACCTAAAATAAAGACCTGTCCTGAACCCAGAAGAAATAAATGAAAATGTTTTGGATTAGGTTAATAAAATAAATATTTCTTATATTCCAAGTCATTATCTGGTAGAAGTTCTGTTGTTGGCTGTTGTTGAGGCTGATAGATCAGTAAATGTGTGGGTATGGAGGAAAGAAAAGAAACCAATGAAGTATTTTTATTCATAAAGCAGTCAGTGCTGCTAAGTTGACAGGTGCGTTGAAGAGAATGTTTGTCCTCACTCTTCAGTGGTTAAAACAGTGAAAAAGTATCAGGAAGGATTCCCTCCATCCTTCAGCCTGTTGGTTTGTAGTGGGTTTTATTGATTGTTAATAAAGAAATCAGGAAATTAACTTTCCTCTGACTCACATACTGCAGGAGGTAGTACCCTGCAGTTGTCTCTAAGGTCAAAACAGAGTCTAAAATATGGGCTCCAGTTCAAGTGCAGTTTTACTGAGTTAACAAATTGCTGTAGTCTGGGTATTGCAGATGATCAAATTTGAGGCTCTTAATGTTCCTGTATGACTTTAAATCTTATACTGAGGAAATCAATAGTTTGTGTTACACTTGCAGTCCTGCCTACTGCAGAATAAATAAACCAGCAGCAGCCTAAAACGAATATTTTCATACAGCATTTTTAGAGTTTGTGTGCTGGCTTTCCTGATGTGAAAAACAATATTGCCACGTGTATGGGGAAGTAACGAACCCAGATAAGTCCACCACAGTAATTCAGTTAATGTAGATCCTTGGAAAATCAGTGAAGGAACATTCTACACTGACTTTTGTCCATCAGAAGAAAGTAAGGTTAGTTTTGTGTGCAGGAGAAAGGGACTCTGCAGATGATCACTTTGAGCAACACCAGCCGCAGGGAGGTTGTGCATCCATGTGTGTGTGGACACAGTGCATGGGCTCCTGGGCAGGGAAGCAGCCTCTCTGTATCCATTGCCGGGGGTGTTGCTTTAGTGCTGTGTTAGTTACTAAACAGCATCATGTCAGAAGTTCTTTACAGCCATTCACAGATATTTTTTTTGGCACAGGACTTTTATTTGTTTTCTCTGGAAGGGTGTGCAGCTGTGGAGGTGAACTAGGACTCACAACAGTCTCAAGTCACCTGTTCTCAACTGTTCTCATTTTGGGAGAAGCCCAAAAATTGCCTCTGCCTCTCATTCTAGTGACTTGGTGTTGTCTGGGCTTTTAAGCAGCCAACTTGATCTTATGCCCTAGGATGTCATCTTTTCTTTTCTTGATGGATAAAGGTTCATCTTGATCTAATGAGATAAATGTTACCCTGAAGCTGAAGACTCTTTCTCTGAGCTGACTGTCCACTGTGGTATTGTGAAGAGAGGGGGACTTGGAGAAAGCTCAGGAATCCCGTGTAGGAAGGAAAAGGGGTAGTGCCTTGTCCCTTGTAACTGCACTGTAGATCTCCTTGGCAGGGCCTGAGCTCAAACCTTGTTCAATATTCTTCCAACTGTCCTGACTAGTTGTGTTGCAAAATATGAATCTTGTGACTTCTGCAGAAGTGAATATGGCCTGTGATAGATTGCATTCCTATAGGATGGTTGTCAGAAAAAACCTATAGCCCTTTTGTTTTGTCCTGGCTGTTCCCAAAGCAGCAGGGGGACTGGTTCATAGGCTGTCTCCAGCTCAGTGTGAGCACCTGAGGCTCCTGGAAACTCCTATTGGCATTTGCACCCATTCATGTAAAAGTTCCTAAAGTGTGGCTTCTAATTTTTTTGAGGTCAGAGGTACCAGCCTAAGAGATTGGGTATTGAATGGAGTTGGTGTGATTAGGAGAACTAAGGCAGCAAGTTATCATTACTGAGTGCAGTATTTTTTCAGGCTACATTTATGCCACCATTTGAAGCAGTCCAAACTCCAGTGACATTTCTGGAGTCATGTGGATGCTTATGTGTGTGGCTTCCTATCTATAGGCAGAATATTCTCTTTAGTGTGTTTTATTTTGATTCCCTCAATGGAGAGCAGCATTTGGCATTTTTATACATTTGACATTTCTATATGAGGCTCTTTGTGTATTTATAACCTAACTCCAGAGAGTACTGAAAGGGTTAACCTTAATTTTACTGTGATAAGGAGAAAGCAGCAGAGCCCTATCCTGTCAGAGGCTGGATACTCATATTTCTCAACACCATACTAGATCCTGCTAGAATTTAAATTATGCTAATAAAATGCACAGTCTTGTACCAGTTCTAACTTGTATAATCCTCCTGGTTTTAGTGTCTGTATTTATTTTTACTGTGATGGTTCTCCTGGAAGCATAGAAAAAGAAGAGTTCATATTTACTTTTTTGCAGCTGTAATAGGTGATCTTTTTTCAGTAGATGTCTGCATGTTATATGATTTACAGGCAGAGCTATGCAACACCCGCAAATGAAAGAACATAACTAAACCACCATAATGTGGGGTTGGCTTTTGTGTGTGTTGTGTTTGGTGGGGGAGGACAGGAGGCTTAAGTTGTTGAGGTTTTGTTTTGTTTTTTCTTATTTGTCAATGTCAACCATAACATGCAACATAAGTAACATAAGTCAGGAAAGAACAAAAGCACTGAAGAATCCCTGACTATGATATTTGATTATGGGAGCAGTTACTGCTATTGGCAACTTGAAGATGAGAATTTTCAATAAAGATTACGCCATTAACTCACTTGGGTCCCTCTGAAAATTACAGCCTAAATTCCATGCCTGCTTAGCTGTGTTGAAAATGGCCCACAGAATAGCCCACAGAGGATTGAAAAATAATGGCTACTTCTGTTTTTCATGAGAAGTGTGAAAATGTTCTTGCTTTCTATGCTGCTCCAATATAGCTTTTGCTGCTATCTTATAAAAATATATATTCTGTAGATTGATGTATTTCCTGCTTTTTTTCTGAAAAATAAATTGAAAATTGTTTTAATTTCTGATTGATATTTTGCCTCATCTGATACAAAGACAGCAGGTTGGAATTTAGTGGATATGATTTCAAATATAGCTCAGTCCTCACAACCTTTTACATATTTTTCTTTAGAAAATGGAAAACCAGAATCTCTTCCACTTACTGCACTCATGTGCTCACAGAAATGATCTGATCCTGCTGAGCTGCTCACTGGTGTGAGGGAGGGATTCACAAAAACCTGATGGAATTATTCATATAGAAAGTTTAGTTCAAGTCTACTGCAGAAAGTTGTTGTCATTGGGCTTCTGTCAAGACAGCTTAAAAGTTTTCCATGTTTGCCTTTGACAGTGCAACAGAAATGTCTCCTTGGGTAATGAAGTGCCTCATGTTCCCAGTCAGCACAGCCCACAGGGCTGTCCAAAATGCACACACAGGGCATGCTAATGTTGCTGAAAGTGGAGAAATGGAGCCTGAAGTGAAGAGACAAGATCATCCAAACTGTATGCAGTTTAGAGATGGTCTTAAGTTATTGGAAAACAACAGGTTATGGGAAATCCTGCAAAACTGGCAGATTGGTTGCTGTACCACTGTTCAGTCAGATGGCCCTTTTCTAGCAATGTTTCTGCATCAGCATTTGA